TCGCGTTCACTCTGAAAGTGGAAAGGTATATGCCTATGGCGTACGATGATTTCAACAGCTACCTACTGACTGCCGCTAACGAAAGTATTCCAGTACCTGCCAATCTGTGGAAGAAAGGATTGAGAAACTGGACGGAAAGAAGCTAGACTCTCAGGAAATATGGCAATGACGAAGTAGAAAAAATCCGAATTGAAATGTCTTCTGTCTGATGAAAGGAACGCATTTGGGCTAAAACGAGCTGCTGTTATAATAAAGCGTTCAAATACAACATCCTTAGATGTGAGTTTGCCTTAATCCGGTAGTGTGTTGGAATGCCATCCCGTCTTTCGTTAGTTCGAAGGATGAATCGCGCATGCGCATAAGAGCGATTTCTATAACATTTGCAACAACTTATAAACCAGCCCCCATCACCTACTTCAGTGCTCTGCTTTCGGTGAAGTAGAACGCTTCACTGTGAATACAGCGTTGATGTACCCAGCCGCGAAGAGATTATGAATGCTCTCAGAAAGGGGCAAAATGGTAAAGCAACTGGTCCAGATAAAATTCACATGTAGCTGTTGAGACATATGTCTAATACAGGATTCCAAGTGTTGTCGAACATCATTCAGGAGATTTGGTGAACAGAGACAGTGCCGGCATAGAGGCGTCAAGCAGTGATTGTTCCGATACAGAAAAGGCTCCGTATCGGATGTCCGAAATTACAGAGGAATCACTTTTCTCTGAGAGACTGAATGTCAGTGAAAGAATTATTGTCAGCAGAATTCTACCCTACAGAGAGTATACTACCAGAATAGAACTTTGTTCCGTAACTTTCTTCGGGTTGATCGAACATCGACCATATTCTAAGATTGCACCTTTGCTGGAAACTTACAACCGATACCACAAACCGCTGTTTATTGGGTTCATCGACATTGAAGCAGTTTTCGATTGTCCACATCGTTGGACCTTGTACGAGTTGCTAAGAGCTGATGGTGTGCCAGCCAGTCTTTAACATCTTGAAAAAAAATTAATACGAGGACAACGGCGGTGGTGCGATCACGTTCAGCGGTCTCAGACAGCTTTCATACTGATACCGGAGTACGGCAAGGATTGCCCCCCCCCCGATCGATATTATTCAACTGTTTCATTTGATGCCGTGATAACAGAAGCAGGTACAAACTTTGATAGCGAAGTATTACTTCAACCATCAGGACGCAGGCTACAAGATGTGAGTTATGTTGAGGAGGTTCCGGTTATTGCATTGAACCTGGAAGAACTTCAGAAGGCGTTAGAAATACTAAAATCAGCCAGCGCCAAGTATGGGTTGAGACTGATCCATCGAAATGCGAAGTCGTTTCATAGTATGTCCCAAAAAATGTCAGCACCATGAAAATTTAGATGGAAGATGTGCAGTACGTCACCAAGTTACACCATCGTGGATTGATGATCAGTAGTGAGGGGAGCTGTGCAACTGATGTCCAGGAAAGAATCAGTTAGGCTCGAATTGCATATAATATGCTGCAGCAAATTCTGTGGAAAACTGCCGTTAGTACGACAGTGAAAGTCCGCTTATATCTGACAGCTATTTGACCAGTACTAATGTTTGCATGGGCCTTTACCACAAATGAAACGAATGCCTGAATCTGAAACGCTTCAGACGTATTTGAGCGCTCTTTTGGTGCAGAATTCTCTGCTGTAGATTGATTGATAAGTTCACGAATGCCCAGTTGCAGGGAAGCGTTAAAACATACAGATGGAGTTCGCCGGGCAAAGAATGATATCTTTCCACCTGATAAATATGAAAAACTAGAAGTCGCTTTTCAGGAACGCACTGCGACGGAACGACGAGGTTGATCGATATCTTGATATGTAATGTGTCGGAATCACTTTGGGAAAGACTGACGTGCAAGGTGCAGGCCGACAACTTCATGGTTGGTTAATATCAGAGACGAACTGTCTGATCTGGAGATAGGCCTACCTACTGACAAACTGCTAGCCAAACATGGCGCTGTAATTGGCTTGCACTCATATCAGACATTACCCAAGGCAGTATGCAATGGCAAATTCCGGTAAAAATTGAAACCAGATCTCGACATATCGTCTTAATCTCCTTGTGAAGCACCGCATTAAGTACTAGTACTAATATGACGAGATTTTGGCCAAAAAAGAAAAATGTCAAGTAAAACCGCCTGATCAAGTACAGAAGAAAAGGTGTTGTAATAATAGGAAATATCGTAAGCGTAATTGTGATAGATCACTTAATGACGTGATCTCAAGACCTCAGTGTAAAGCACTGTGTAAAATATTGTAATGGGCTAAATCTTTCTACATCCGAAAAAGAGGAAGGAGAAGTTCCACGAAGTCTACATTCTGTTTTGATTCTTCTATACAGCATGCTGATTTATACTATAGCTAACTAGCACATGACTTTCTTGACTGCTTTGCTTTTGTGAGCTGCGTTTCTGCTGCCGACGTATTTTTGTTGTCGAATCGTGCTGAATGACTGTATTTCACTTTGTTCAAACAGAACATCGTTCTCTAGGTTATTAAGGCTGAGTGTGTACAACTTAGACATCTAACTTGCACTGTGATGTTAAGAAGTCATTAGAACAACATAGCTCCTCTCTTGCCATCAACGGGCGGCAAATAGCCTTACGGCAACACTTGGCAGACTTTCACACTGTTACGAAGAGATGTCGCTACTGCAATAACGTGCTTTGCCCGCCTCCCTTTCTATCAGATCAGACACGATCGGGTACCGACCCCCACGTCGAATAACATGTAAAGGTATTGTACTGTTGGCGCCTAATATCCGTTAAATGACAGTTAGAAGATAAATAAAACCGATCTGGTTAGATTGGATGGCTTCGTGCTTTCAATCTCCGCCGTTCTGACGGATCTGTGATCGCTGAATTGTTTTGAACGGCATTCTTGTATCAGATGATGACTGCCCACTGGCAGAGACTATTGCTTTGCTTTCCGTTCGTTCGTTTCCAATTCCAGTGTGTTTTTTCGCTCATTTCCGCGCTTCTGATGATTGTTTCCTAAAATTCTGTAAAGTCGCGCAACCGCTTCCAACAATGGTAGAAGCTGTCGGCAGTGACGCAAGCGTGAGGTTAGAAGTAGTTCCTTCAGAGATGAAAAATATTCATGTGAAATGAACAAAATTGTAGACGGTTCATTTTGCTAACGATGCACAGCATTAACGAGAAGATCAAAACCTGTTTGTGCCGTCATTGTAGTGCGTCTTAACTTTTATCAGACAGTTACGGTGATGGGATGTAGTTGATTGCAAGTGCACGAAATTGACAACGTAATAATTAGCAAAAATAGCGCGTGTGACTAGCAAAATGAAGTGTTGCAATGACTCACGATTAAACAACTTGAAATAGTTATTGCGATCGAAAACCAAAACGGTGGCAGTATATTATAATAATAAGCATAATGATTTCATTCAATTGAGCCACTTCATTTTAAGAAGCGTTTTGTTCAGAAAACTTTACGTTAGAGTTCTTGTAGTTAATCGGCCGCGGCAAACAAACTTAATGAATAAACATAAATATTGCCAACAATCAATCAACGTAAATATGTAAAACGGAAGCGTAAGCCGAATAAAGGATAAATGATTAAAAGTGCCGTTGCCTGTCAGTTCAACGATTGGCACATGGCAAGCCAGAAGTTAAAATTTTAAAATTGGGTTTTGTTCAGTAAACCGAACTGTGGTGTAGGCTGTCAAAAGTCTATAGCTGAGCGCGTAGCCGGATTCAGTCAGGTAATACCTTATTGCATCCCGCAGTTCCAAAGGGTGGCTAAATCCCGATAGTTTTATCACGTGTATGCGCTCTTTGTTTTGTCATGGATGTTACGGGTTTTTGCTTAACCAGTTTCGGACAATGGATTGAGGTTACCTGCAGTAGAACATATCGAGCGGTTTTAGTTCACTGTCAATC